CCCGCCCCTGCCACCTGCAGAGCAGGGTCTTTGGCTGTCACCGTCCTGCCACTGCCCCTTCCCTGTCGTGCCTCAGTTTCCCCCCTGCAGTATCATCTGGGGAGGGCTGAGCCATTCCCCACAGAGCTCCGGGCTGTGGTGGGGGGGTCAGGGTGTCCCCACGGGTACCTGGAGGTGAGGGGGAGGTTGTAGGCTGATGGGCAACCAAGGCAGTGGCGATGGGATCGGTACTCACCCTCCAGGAGGACTGTCCGTCAGATGTTCCCTTTGGTGTAGATGTCCTCGAGTGGAGACCGATCCTGTGAGTCCTGTGGGATGCACTTGCCACTCCCCACAGACAGTCTGGGGGGGGCACAAGCCACCGCTCAGAGGGGACCAGGGGGGCTCAGCCACCTCCTCACCCCATCCTGCACCCCCAAACCCAACGGGCTGAGCCCCCGCAGCGGGGCACGGCTGGGGACTTGAGCAGGACCCCGTCCTGGTGGAGCCACCAGAGCATGAAAAGCCATCACTGGGGAAAAAAATGACATTTACAGGAGGTTTGCCCAAACCTGCCAAGCACCAACCGAGAGCCAGGCAGGGAGCGGAGCCGGGGCTGGGACTTGTCCGGGCAGGACCCTGCCCTCCCCTCGGCCCCGCTTCCCCAGTCCTTGGAAGGCAAATAGCCATTTCCCCCCCCCTCCTTTTGCTTGTTTTTGGGGTAACTAAACCCAAAGCAATGGTCAAGCCTAAAAACCAGGTTTGCGGCACAGGCTGGGGAAGCCAAAGCCTGGCAAGCGAAGCCGTACGCCGCCCAGCATCACCATGTCCCAGCACCAAAGAGCTCTGTCCCCTCCCCGGCCGATGCTGCGCCCCGTAAAGTGGCAAATGGTGGCGATGGCAGCCCCGAGCCGGAGCGGTGGGAACTGGGGTCTGCAGGGGAGGTGGGAAGGGCAGAGGTGAGAGGGATGCCCACACATGGGGACATCCCTGTGGGACGTGGCAGCGCGATGGTTCCTACCTGCTCCGCTCTGGTGCCACGGCCACCAAATAGCCCCGGCCGCTGCTGTGTTACAGTTCAGTGGCTGCTGGGAGCATGAACAGGAAACCACCGGGTTTGGGGGCCTTTGCTAAATTTGGAGAGGAAAGGTGAAGCCTCTTTGCGGGGAGGAAGAGGAGGAGGTGGGACCAGGTTGTCTCTAATAGACATCGCCCCACAGCCGGGGACTCGGCTCCCTCGCCAGGGCATGGACTGGAACTGGGACCCTCCACCGGTGACATCGCGAGATCTCCCCAGAGCAGAAAATCCCCAGGAAAGCAGAGGGAGGTCACCATGTCCCCCCCAGTGCTGAGTGCACTGGGGGCACTCGGAACTGTGCAGGATGGGATGGGGACGCAGCAGGGCCCCAAGACCCACACAGTCGGGCTTTCCTGCCCTGGCCAGGGGTGGCAGGGGTGACACCGCTGCCCGCCACAGCGACAGTGGGACCTCAGCCACCCACCAGCCAGTGCCACCAGCTCCGGCAGCACAGGAGTGGTGGCAACCTCGGCTGGGGATGGCCAACAGCCTGAGACCACATGAATGGCTCCCCTTAGACACGGTGTTAACTCTGAAACCTACTGGTGGCTAACACAGTCACCACTTTGAAGAGAAGCACTCGGTGAGCTCACACAGAAGGGGGTGCTGTGACAGCAGCCCCAACCCCACATTCCCCCACCTGGTGGGGTCCCTGACCCACGGGGGCTGCCCTGCTCCAGTGACAGCGGGAAGGGGACGAGTCCCACACCCATTCAAGTACCTCCCAAAAAGCTGCCCCGCCAGGGATGACCAGAAAATGTTGGTCTCTCCTTCTCTGCTGGGTTTCCCCAGAGCCTCTGGGCCCCCTGCAGCGCCCTTTGCAGGGAACACGGTGGCTTGAGGAACCACATGGAAAACACAACCAGGTGGGGAGTAGCAGAGGAAAGTTTTGGGAGAGAAACCTCCTTTCACACCAATTTCCTTCGGGAGGAAAGGTTTCTGTGCGGGGTCCCAGAGAAAGGGAATGCCAGCAGCTCCTGCCCAGCTGCCCCACAGCCCCGGCCCTCCTTCCACGGGGATACCAGTGGGTACCAGTAGGTATCAGCTGAGCGCTCTCAGAAAAAGCCCCAGAGACAGAGGGGACACAGAGTGGTCCCCAGCAGCCCTGGGGAGCCCAAGGGGGCCTGAACACCCACGCGGGGTCTGGCTGCCCATCCTCGTGGCTCCGGCACAGAAGGAGGATCCGTCCCGCGCATCCGTCCAGCACCATGGGCTCCTGTGAGAGGCAGCGATGGGACGGTCCTGGGAGCCCCGGGGCCGGCTGCAACGTGTGTGTGTCTGTGTGTGTGTGTGTGTGTGCACGCGTGTGTAAGCACGTGCAAGCCCGTGCAAGCGTGTGTATGTGCCAAACCAGCCGAACCAGCTGGCCATGGCTCTGTGGGAAATGGGAGCTCCCTGCCGCATCCCCCCGGCATAGCTGGGGCTGGCTGGGGAGGATTTAGTCAGCACTGGGGAGGGTCCTCCCTGGGGCAAACCAGTTCCCTGGGCACTGGGGGAACTGGAGGGACACTGGGGCAAGTCTGGGCCTTGAGTCACTGTGTGCAAAGGGAGGGACGAGAGACAGGGCAGGCATGTAGGTGACAGCAAGAAGGGGAAGAGAGAGGAAAAATAAGAGGAGGTTGAGAGAGATCAAGACACGAGACCAAAACAGTGCTGGGGTTTTGGGGCGGTGGGGGGGGTGAGGCAGGGGCGGGGTGGGGGGCCTGGAACCCCAGAGCACCCCAGTCCCCTGGGGAAAGCCTGAGGGGGCTGCAGAGCCTGGAGGGGATGACAGGGTGCCCGAGGTGGGGATAGCAAGGTGCTGGGAGGATGGCTGGGTGCCCAAGGGGGGGATGTCAGGATGCTGGGGGGATGCTGGGGTGCACAGGGGGCAGCTTTGTAGGCCTTTGGGTGCGTTACAAGCACCCAAGGTGATGGTTGGCAGCCTGCCGGCAGGGCAGGAGGGAGGAGGAAAGGGGGTGCCAGGTGCTGGGGACGGAGATATGGAGATAGCAAGTTCTTGGGGACCGCAGTGAGATGTCACCGCTTCCTTCCTGCCAGCACTTCAAAAAAGCAGCAGACACCACCATCACCCCTGCCTGCACCCCGAGCTCACAGCACGCAGCACCCCCTCAGCACCTGAGCATCCAAAATTTCACACCTTCCCTGCTGCCCACGATGGCTCGAGATAAGCGTCTCCGGTGGCAGCAGCTCACCAGCACACGGCCCGAGCTGAGACCTGACGCTCTCATGCTCTGTGTGACCTGCACAACCCCCTCATTTTCCCTCTGCCTTGATCCCCTCCAGCTCCCAGGGGCGTTGCTGGCGTCCCGGCAGCAGCATCCAGCAGCGGTCCCCAGACCATCCATGGAGCTGGGATTCCTGTCAGCGGGGGGGTGATGGTGGCATCCCCATCCCCAGGGGATGGGACACAGGATCCCCCACAAGTCCCCCATGCTCCCCCTTAGCTTGCAGTTGCTCTCAGTGTGGGGGTGGCCCTGGTAGAAGGTGCTTTTCGGAAACACCCCCCCAAACCTGTCCCTTTCCTGCTTTGTTCAAGTTGGGTTTTCCTGGAAGGGCCCGAGAGCTTAAAATACACCCGGGGGCGTTGCTAAGAAATGGCTTTAGGTCTGGCCACCCAGCTGGCACCTGGCAGGGAGAGTGGGGACTTCCTGAGGTGCACTGAGTGCATCAGGTCTCTGCAGCAACGCATGGGGATGGGGATGCTCCAGGGAGAGGCCCTTGCCCATGTCTCCAGGGCTCTCGGGGCACCCGCGGTGGCTGGGACAGAGCCACCCCAGCCCCTGGGGTGATGCTGAGCTGGGGGCTGTCCCTATGAAGGGGGCTGGGCATGGGGCATCTCCCCATGGGTGGCCTCAAAGCATCCGAAAGCTCCTGGGCATGAAGCCCATTTTATGGGTAGAGAAACTGAGGCACAGCAGGAACAGGGACATGAGAAGAGTCTGTCTGCGCTGACCCAGACCCACGTCACCCCCACCTCTGGCTGTATTTTGCGTGGGAGGTTTGAGCGCCTGTGCCCATTTGCACCCATGGGCACACAGGGCTGTGTCACCTGCAGGCAGAGCTCCCCCCTGGGTGAACGCCGTGTGTCCCCACTCTGTCCCCATGGGACAGGTACCTGCAGGGTGCTGCTCCAGCCACACCTGCAATGAGTTTCCAGGTCTCAGCACTGGGGTGAGAGTTGCAATGACTGCAA